TCCAATCAATTCTAAAACCAAAAGATCAGACCTCGCACCATCCTTTCGCCTACCATGGACGCTTACCTGTCTATCCATAAATAATTATCTTTATTATTGTTTTCTAGTCCAAATATTATGAATAGCCATTTCAATCACAACCAAATTTTCATTAATTATTTTTGTTTTGCGCAAGTGATGCAATTCGTAAATATGTACATTTTGTATAACGTATATATATTCTATTTCCAAACAGAGAATACATAGACAAAACGATTTTCAAATGGAATATTTATGATATTCATGAGTACATGACACTCTTGTTGAATGTTAAAGGGTAACTGTAATCGGCTATTCCGATTCTGCTTCTCTCAGAGATTTCATTCTCATACGAAAAATTGTATACCTTGTAATATACAACGGAAACGGTGAGGAAGCTATGGAGGTTATACGGGGTTTTTCGCGGGCCATAGGTGAGGGTGGGGAATTAATGCCAGAGTTAAAAGACCCCCAGTGGGTTTAAAAATTATTTTATTGTCTCCAACTTTGGTTATCAGGTTGCCGGGCAACGATCTGTGCAACTGAGCACAATTGTTAGTCCGCTCGGCCACCCCGCCCCTTAAAATTAATCATTTGCCAGCACCGGAGCAAGATAAGAAAACAAAACATGAATAAAAATTAAGACTAAATGGTTACTGATACTAGCCCATTTTAGTTGCTATAATGAAACTTTTCCTCAAAGAAAGCGAACACTCACAGGTAATCAAAAATTGCGCTCTATAGAGAGATGTTCGTTAAAGTTAAAAAAAAAGTTAGTTAAGTTAAAAAAATAACAATTAGAAAACTTAAATTGTATTTTAAAATTTAGAAATAGAAATAGAAAATAACTTTATTCTGGGGCAAAGTCCCTTTAGAATAACAAAATAGAACATAATTAAAATACTACATCTGGCCAAAATAAAACAATAATAAAAAAGAGAAAGTAAAGAAAATATTAGTTAAACAAGCTATGTACAAAAAAAAAAAAATATCGTATATACAAAACACGTTAGACTATGATAATAAATAGTATAGTAGTAACAAACAAATAAATACTGAGAGAATCGTTGAAAAACAAAAGTAACAGGCAATAACGTACAATACTATTTATTATATATTAATTACACAAAGAGAAACACTATTAAGATACACAGTAAATAAGCCATTTTTTGATAGCCAGAATAAACGAAAAAAAAAGTATTTTTCTGGAGACAAACGAATTACTGACATTCATTTCTTTTTTCTTTTTTATTCAGAAATGAAACAATACTCGAGATATTTTTGTTTTGTTTGATTTAAAAAATTCTTATCAATTATTAAATTATATTTACCACTACTTCAGCGTTGCCGTCTTTTGCTACACCGATCCCAGTAGCATCGAAATCACTCAAAGAATTAAATTCAGTTGACGTGGAAAAATGTGATGTTTTGGGAGGACTTATATAATAGTTCATGGTACAGACTCCTTTTTATTAAATAAGTAACATCCGCCTGAAACTTCGTAAATAGTTTCATCTGATCGTAACCTACAACTATTTTATTTACGAAAATTCTCAGAATTGGGACGTTTTCAATCTGAAGATTCGCAAACTATGTATATTAGAATAGGGACTGAAAACTCGCAAATACCCACTTGCTTTCCACTTGAATCGTGAGAAGAAAAGAGGAGGCCTCCAAAAATGTTGAGCAGTATGGCGTGACCTACACCCACAAATGTTGAAATAACGAGGTTATATAGGCCAAACGGCCCAATATTTTAGTATACCATCATTTTTCTCAATTTTGTGATCAAATTATCATATGATCTAAGTGGAAAGCAGATGGATATTTACGAATTATTAATACCTAACTAAATAGATACAGTTTTCCGATCGCCAGATTGAAAACCAATTCCAAGACTTTTTCGCAAATAAAATATTTGTAGGTTACGATGAGATGAAGTTATCCAAGAAGTTTCAGGCGGATGTTAATAATTTTATAGAAAGGGGAAGGGGTCTGTATCACGGACTATAATTGAAATTTAAAAAATATCGAACTTCAAAATTGTAATTACCGAAATAATTTTAAGTATCATTTAAAACATAACAGAATAGAAAAAAAAATTCAGGTAAAATGAACTTTAAAAAAAACAAGATGACAGCCACAAGTTGATAAACTGCATTAATTGGCGAATACAGTTGGAATTAATGGCGACAGAATGAACGATAAGCTCACTACTTCCTTTCGAGATAAGCGGCTGGGTTCATTCTGTCGTCCATAGATCTTCGGTCATGCAACCGATGACTTAAAATGCATTCTCCGACATTTACTTGACCTTTCAAGGCCAAACGTGAAGCAACTCGCAATATGGTAATGAAGGTGAAGTCTTTTTAGCTTTATATCAATAATAAATACCTTAGCAGTGTGAAGATTGAGGGTTTAACTTAAAGGAAACATAATTGTTCGTTAGAGTATGAAAACTCTCAGGCACAAAGCAACAGATACGGTATACTTTTGCTTCCTCACTACCGAAGGTAGGGAAGCATTGTGTTCGTGCGAGAAATTAAAAAAAATTGTTTGCTCAGAATCGAAAATTTTCACTCGCGTTTTACGTTTCAGACATCAAGGATCAAATTTGGTTCGGTGTCTGTCTGTCTGTCTGTCAGTCTGTCTGTCTGTCTGTCTGTCTGTCTGTCAGTCTGTCTGTCTGTCTGTCTGTAGTCAAATCGATGTGACGGGCATATCACCTAGTACCGTTCATCCAATCTTCATGAAATTTTCAGGGATTATGCTGATCGGTGCCTAGATGGTCCCATATCAATTTTATCAAATTCCACCCAGCACTTCCGCTTACGCACGCGCAAACGTATATTTTTAGATATGCCAATATTTCAGAAAGGGCTCGTTCGATTTGGCTCAAAGTTAGATGAAAGGTAGACTTTGGTGAAAAAATAATGTAGTGTCAACTTCATTGAATTGCGTCCAACACTTTCTCTTATATGTGCACTACCACTCCGCCGTCCGCGCATTTTTTCTGAAACTACTAGACCGATTTTTTTCGAATTTGGATATAAAATCAGAGGTCACCCGAGGATCATCCTCCTTCAACGACATTACTATTCGCCTTCTAGTTTCAAAATGGCGGCCGAAAAACCTGCGTGGCTATAGACTGTAGCGCCTAAACGAATGAACCGATTTTAATGAAACTTCGCTAAAGTCATTTTCTCTACGCCCTCTAAATTTATCTATACTACATACTTCAACGAAAAGAAGCTCAAAAAAAGTTACGAGGGATGGTAAAATTAAATTCCGAATAACTCAAGAAGTATACACATTTATGTCAATATTGTATATGGTTTTTTAGAAGTTTACGGAATTTCTTAAAAAACAAAAAAAAATTCGTCAAAATCGGACAATTATGAGCAAAGATATCGTCTCTAGTTTTTTTTAGATGTGCTATTGCAAAAGGTTTATCTTTTTTTTGATTTCTGAATGTGTTACTGAAGTAATGCTATTTTTTTATCACATTACTAATGATTAAAAAAGATTTTAGTCCAATAATTAGAATCACCTTTTATTTATTTTTCTTTATAACTAGGAATTTAATGTTACTTTATCTTTCGTGCTGAAGCCCCTCCTCCAAAATTAAATCTTGATTCGGTAATGTATATACTATTATTAGATCATAAGTTCGTATGTAATAATTTTCAACTTTAATTCTATGTGTATTAAAGGTGATATTTTGTAGTCTGCAACTGATATAAGTAGTCTGCTACTATGGAAAATAGCAGATAATAATAAAATATGAAATTATTCTAATAAAGCATAAAGAAATATTGAGTTTTTATGCACAATTGTAAAACAATAATTACATTTATACATACGACCTTTTGAACTAACAGTATTGAAATTCATGTTCAGTATGCATTTTTTTTATTTATTTATCTTTTTATTAAGCATAATTAAGTATGGAATATTCAAATACGATCCTCTGTTGTTGAATGTTGAAGGGTAACTGTAATCAGCTATTCCGATTCTGCTTCTCTCAGAGATTTTATTCTCATTCGAAAAATTGTATACCTTGTAATATACAACGGAAACGGTGAGGAAGCTATACTGACCTTACTTGGCAGACGTTTTTTAATATACAACGTGTTATTAGATGAATACTTTTATGTTAAAAATATTTTAAGTCTGACGAACGATATTTTAATAATTGCTTCATAATTTTTAAAACTTTATAAATAATGTTAAAAATATTAAAACAACGAATTTTATCAATGAAAACCATGAAATTCTTTCTTTTTTTTTCTCTCTCAGAGCAATGCTAGAAATGAGCTTTATTTTGTACAAAACAAAACAAAGTAAAGCAAAAAGCAAGATGATTTAAATAAAAATGGTTGAAATACCTACTGAACTATATAGAATTTATTCATCGAGGCTTATTAGTTTTGAACAAAATTATTCGTTATTTGATACATAAATACAATGTACCTTAGTCAAAAACTTGGGTTTTACTTCTTTTTTATTTTATAAAAGTAACAATGAGTAATAGCATGAACATTAATTAAAAGCCTAATATAATATATAATTATAATAAATGCACTTATGTTATCACAAAAGTTTAATACAGCAATAATTGTATTTTGCAATTTTTATTTAAACAAAAATTAGAAGTCTAGGATAAGTGATACTAGAATGACAATTGTATTAAGAACTATTCCTTGAGTTTCCGCACTCAAATTTATACTATTCAAGGACACAAAAGATAATCAGTTTCATTTTCCAATGTCAAATATAAACTCTTGAAAACTGTGACAAACCAATTTACCGAAATTTAACACTCCTACACGTTTTGAGTTTATATATATGTATATATAAAATTATTTTCTCATATATTTTCAGAGTTACTGATAAAATTCTTTATATTTAACTTTTTAAATTAAATAGTTTAAATAACTTCCAGATCACTGAATAATAAGAACTATTGAAAATTTAATGGCTTATTCTACTGGAATGTGCTTGACCTAATAGAAGCAGAGAACCTTTGACCTTAACATTGGAGCAAGCTGAGCTAGTGAGTGATCTAGGTTATGATTGGATGATAAGAACTCATCTTGCTTCTTATCATAAATATTTCATATGCCTGTAAGATTCATTGTCGACCAGTAAAATGAGGATTTAAACATAAATACAGTACTTCATTAAAAATAATATATAACTGATCTATAATAGAAAAAATTATGAAGATAAATTAATGATTCATGAAAGGGCTATTAATATGTTGGCAATAAATTTGTGATGATTTATTTCAATGATTTATTTCAGGCAAATGAATTAATTCCTTTGATAAATGAAAATTTTAGATATCATTCATAATTACCACCAAAATAGCAAAATCCTCTGTCAATTCAGTTTAAGGTGCATTTTTAGAATCTTAATAAATACACAAAATACCATTAAAACTATTAATAAATTCATGAAAGATAATAACACTTTTAATTAACACAAAATAAACTAATTAAAAGTTTTAATGACAAATCATACCATTGATAATGATATGATTTATATTTTAACATAAAAATACAAAAAAATAATTGGTCAGATTACATACCTTAATAGCTTTGTATTTTTTCTTGGTTGCAGTATTCAAGTCTTCATGAACCTTATCCAACAGCCAAAGCAAAAATTCTTGAGCATCGTGTTGGTTATTACCGCGGAACTGACTACCGTACTTATCAACAATGAGTTTAAACTTGTTTGATATTTCTGGATCATATTGACAAGACCAAATGGATTTTAGAAGAAGAGCCAGGTGCTGGGTTACTTCTCCCTTTGTCCCATGTTTTTTGGAGTTTATTTTGTTACGACGTGACAGATCAGCCTTATACTGATCCAGAACAAAATATTCAGCAAGAATATCAGTATGGCTGAGACATTGTAATACTGCATTGATAAAACATGTATTGCCATGATTTCGAAGGCCTATTACCCCAGGAACTTTATCATTAGGAAAATTCCCTGGCCTAACAGGTGGTACACGAATATCAGAAGATGATAAGGACATAGGAGGGCGTCCTCCACAACCATAATTAGAACACAAGTTCTTATTATTGTATAAGCTTAAGTTTGATACTTTTTGTACATATTTTATGAATTTATTCCAGGAGGGCCGTAACAAATGTTTCTTGTACTTGTTGTCAAGATCCATATCATTTATCAGCATTGAATTTTTAGCATTTTCAACATCTTTTGATTTGTTCTTTCTTCTACTTGCTCTAGTAGCAGTTAAGGCATTCCTGGTAAATGAAAATGTACGTTTCAATTTCGATTCTTGACTGTTAGCTGGGCTTGTTTCATTATTTTTTAATGTACCGAAGTTTTCACATACCAATTCTCCATCGGCCGCTGGCATTTTGGTCTGCAAACTAGATGTCACCTCCGACATGACTTAAACATAGTAAAATCACTGCACTTCAACATAAAATGACTGTTTACCCACTTAAAGGCACAAAACCGGTTGAACAACACCTCACACCTCTCCAACTGTAATGGTGGAGTTAACAGAGACAGATATGAACAGTTCAGTACTGCCAACGTTTTAAAAAAAAAATACTCTTTGCAACTTATATTTTTAAATAACCTTTGCTAAATAAATGTTTAAAATATTGCATTTTAAACTTTTTATATTCTAAATAAAATGTATACCGATCAAAAAGGGTATATTCATAACAGATAATCGATCTATCATTTTTCGTTTTGATAAATAGAATTCGATGCGCGCCATTATTCGTAACTAATTGAATTGGTGGCAGAAATGGGCAAATGCTACTCTGAATACAGAGTACGGAGTATTTTATTCAAATACTGACCTTTTTAGAGTACAAAAGAATTTAATTGCTACTTCAGTTGATGTCAAACGATTAACTGAAGTTATTGAATTCCAAATAGTGATTCAATTGAGTAAAATACTTGGTACTTCATACTCAGAGTAGCATTTGCCCATCTCTGGTGATTAAAAATAATCTAAGCAGGTAGCTATTATTTAATTTTTAGATACCCAGGGTTTCTTTAAAAAAAAATGAAGTTATAATTTTTATTAATAGTTCATTCAATTATCATTATCTAATTTAAAAAAATAATTTATATTATAAAAACACTACTTATTATACTTACAAACTGATTATTTCTTATTACTCCGATGCACTAAATTAACCTCTAGTAAGCTATATATATTTTTTAATATGATTCAATTGTGAGGAAAGGTGTATACAATTGTATAAGCACGAATTATTTGTTAAGGATGACCATTAAGTAAATTGGATTTAGATAGGATTATTAGTGGAAACATGAATTGACTTGTGGACATGAATTGAAGTGGAAACATGAATAAATCAATTACTTGTCTTAGGTGAAATACAAGTTGAGTTTATTGTTGTTTTTATAGTTTAGATTTTTCATACCTCATTCATTTGTGCCTACATTTAAAAAACAAAATAATAATACTTCAATTATATCAAATTAAGTCATTTTAAACATATTCTTTTCTAATTTCTTCTATTAATGTGGCATCTAATTTCTGTTAAATAACCATACTAGGTTGTGATTTCTATGATAAATATTTTCAAGTTAATACACCATAGAATACATTTATTGCAGATATCTCCTTTTGTTTATACATTATCCCTTGCCACACAATTCAGGTATCGTAGGCGTGGTCTTCCTACTTTCCTAGAGCCTTGTTTATTGCTCTCCATAGTTTTTTTTGGTGATTTCATCGTTTTGCATTCTCGCCACATGTCCTGCCCATCGCAGTCTTATGATTCTTATGATATCCGGCTTCTTGAATAGATTGTAAAGCTCTATATTATGTCTAATCCTCCAATTCTGTTCATCGCGCACAGGACCATAGATTCTGCGGAGCACCTTCCGCTCAAATAACGCTAGGGGTCGCTCGTCTCCTTGCGTCATGGTCCAGGCTTCGGAGCCATACATCAGTACCGGACGAATGAGCGTTTTATAAAGCTGTGTCTTTGTGCTGCGAGTTTAGTTTTGAAATGCTTATTTAGGCAAAAATAGTACTTGTTTGCCACTACTATCCTTCTCTTGATCTCTAGGTTTCCTCTGTTTTCTCTATTTACCAGAGATCCCTGATATGCAAACTCATTAACTCTCTGGAACTTATAGTGTGCGATCTCCAGGTGCTGTTCTCGGGCTGTAGTACTGTCTCTAATACACACATACTTAGTTTTTGCTTCGTTAACAACCAGTCCTAACCTCCTAGCTACTGCTTCTAGTAGGACAAACGCTTCTTTCATAGCATTCATCGATATGGCCATTATGTCGATGTCATCGGCATATGCAAGTAGCTGCATGGTCTTATTCAATAGCGTACCAGTAGTCTGGATGCCAGAATCCCTCACAGCTTTTTCGAATGCCAGGTTAAATACGAGGCATGCAAGAGCATCTCCTTGTCGCAGTCCTTTAGTTGTCATGAACCTCTGTGATAAGTCTCCCTGTACTCGGACGACTCACTCTACGCCCATCATGATCATCCTAACGAGGCGGACCAGTTTTGGTGGTAAGTTCATTCCAATGATTGCCCTGTATAACTGCTCTCTATCGATGCTATCGTAAGCAGCTTTAAAATCTATAAAGAGATGGTGGGTTTTAACATTTTACTCCATAGTTTTCTCCAGAAACATTCTAAGGGTGAATATCTGATCAGTGGTCGATTTTCCTCTTCTGAATCCACACTGGTATTTGACGATCTCTAGCTCTACAAACGGCAGAAGCCTCTGTAAGAGCACGTTTGAGAGAACTTTTTAAGCACTGGAGAGCAGAAAAATGCCTCTATAATTTTCACAATTAAGTTTATCTCCTTTCTTGTATATAGGGCATATCGCGGACTTGTTCCAATCCTTAGGTAATTTCTCTTCAGTCCATATACTCAAGAATAGCACGCGTAAGATTTTTATTAGTTTGGTTCCCCTATATTTGTATAGTTCGCCTGGGAGTCCATCAAATCCCGGGGTCTTGTTGTTTTTTAGCTTTCTTATTGCCACCTCTACTTCCCCATAATCTGTTGGTTCCAGATCATCATCGGCACTATAACCAGGTGTTACAGCATCCTCATCAATGTTGTTATTTCTCAATCCTTCAGTAAGGAGGTCTTCGAAATATCTTCTCCATCTATCTAAAATACCCGTATTTTCCGTCAGAAGATTACCATTTCCATCTCTGCATGAAGAAATTACTGGTTGATAAGGTTTGCGCCCTTCGTTAATTTTTTGGTAAAATTTCCTCTCTTCGTTTAGATTCCTGTGTTCTTCAATGGTCTCCAACTCATTGCTTTCGTATTCCCGTTTTTTTCTCTTGTATAACCTTTTTTCAATTCTTCTTTTTTCACGATATTCCTCAGTTGCAGCTCGAGTATTTCTTTTTGAAGCATTTTTTTATATATGCCTCAATCTTCACTGCAGTCACCAAATGACACTCTTCATCGAACCAGGGAGATCTGACTGACCTTTCCTGCTTACCCAGAACTTATTCAACTGCCGAATCCAGCGAAACTTTGAACGCATCCCATATACTATCAATATTATGATCATCTTAAACATCTAGAGTTACTGATTTTAGATTTATTCGCTCCTCATATACTTGACGCACATCTAGATTTTTCAGTTTATTCGTAACATACTTTTTTAGCTTTTGTCTTTCTGTTCTTGCGTTCGTGTTCGCTATCCCAGCCCTGATTCTGGCAATAAATGGTCAGAATCAATGTTGGCTCCTCTGTAGGTTCTGACATTGATCAGATTTGAGCGATGTCTTGCACTAATCAAGATATGATTTATAGTTCTTCCATCTAGGGTTTCCACGTACCTTTATGAATATTTTTATGTGGGAAGAGCGTGCTCCCTATGATTAGGTTTTTAGATGCGGCAAAGCTCACTAATCTTTGTCCATTATCATTAGTGTCATTGTGATCTTATGTGACATATTATCTTTATGTCAGCACTAGGGCATGTATCTACTGTTTTTTCAAGAGTCTCGTAAAACTCATCCCTTTCTATGCCATCTGAAATTTCCGTGGGGCATGAGCGCTGAAAAGGCTATAATTAAAAAAAATTCCTTTTATTCTTAAGTAGCAAATTCTGGGATTTACAGGCTTGAAATCTGTAATTAACGACCTTGCATTCTTACGAACAATAAATCCGGTACCGAAGATATGGCGCTTATTATGGCAGCTATAATATATAGTATGGCTCTTCTTTTCAATGATTCCATGTCCTTATTATCAATTGGTGAAGAACTTTCAGAGAATAGCGGCTTTGTACAAAAAAACGGTAATTATTTCAAACGGTGCTCCACCGGCCATTTACATTTAACATTTACATTTTTATTTATTTTTTTATACTAATAAAATTATCTTAAGACAGAAATACTATGCCAGAAACTTCTGGGAGAGTGTAGCAACAACTTCCCAAACTTTCATGGCGATCGGATGAATGTTTTAGTAATGCATAAAGGACACACAGACAGACATACATTCATTTATATATAGAGATTATTTGAATTATATTTCATTCAATATTTCTCTAATTTGTCAATATGTCTTTTATTAATAGGCTAAAATTAATTATTCTTACGCGCTTAATAGTTTGTTTTTTATTCTAAACAAGTGGCAGCCTCCAGACTGCCACCCCCAAACAATTGCCTGGGTTGCCAGTCCCCAAGGCCAGCACTGCTGTTATAAATTTTGTACAGTGGCTTAATAATACAGTGCGGTCATATGGATGAGGCGGCCATATTGGATCGGCGGGAAACTAATATTTGAATAGTCTCTCTTTGTTATTTCAATTTAAAAATTAATTATTGTTACAAACTATTAACTAGAATGGTTTAGGAGATAGAATTAAAGTTGGGCAAGTTGAATGAAACATATGAATCACTTATATCACACGAAAATAAATAATAAAATCAAAGAACAATATTTTGTTTTTTTCTATTTAACTTCTTTTAAAATATATTTCAATAAACTTTGGCATATTGGGATTTCCATTTTATTCATCTAATTCTCTCATTGGTAAATTTCACAATTATATTTATATAATTATTAAAACATTAAACAAAAACTGAGTGAAAATTAACTTTCATTGGAAAACCAGAAACTCAATTCTGTCAGCAACCATGAAACTATTTTTAATATTCTCCTTTGAAAAAAACAAAACTTTAAATAAATGTAAATTATTTAATAAATATAAATTATTTAATGTAAATTTAATAAATATAAATTATTTAATGTAAATTTAATAAATATAAATTATTTAATGTAAATTTAATAAATATAAATTATTTAATGTAAATTTAATAAATATAAATTATTTAATGTAAATTTAATAAATATAAATTATTTAATGTGAATTTAATAAATACAAATTATTTAAT